ATGTCTTTGGGTAATTTTGGAAGGAGTTCGAAAAAACCTCGAAATTTTCATGCGTGTATTGAAATCTTGAGCTTTTGAAAAATTGTCTAAAAATCCACCAAAAAATCCTGGGAAACAGATTTCGACGTGCTGATTCGAAAAATTGTCCCAGAGCAAGATTTTTGAAAAACTGAGCTTTTAAAAAAGTTCTCTAAAATCTATGAAAATTTCAGGGATCTAGATCTCACGAGCTCATTCGAAAAATATAGCGTATTTATTGTCTCGGGCAAGATTTCTGGATAATTAGGTTTGATTGACAACATTTTTGAAAATTCTAAAATTTGTCATTTTTCGTACTAAAAATTCTAGTAAAATGGTAAGAATTTCACAAGAAATAAAGCCGAAAATAACTTTTGGAAGTCAAAATCTGAAAAAAACATATGTAATTAATTTTCGAATGAGTTCGAAAAAAGCTTGAAATTTTCATGAGTAGTGAAATTTTGAGCTTTTATAAAAGTCTAAAAATCCAAAAAAAAAAATTCTGAGATATGGATCTCGACGGCCGGATTCGAAAAATATAACATAATTATTATCCCAAAGCAAGGTGAGTTAGATTTTCCAAATAAAATGGGTTTGAAAGAGAAAATTCTCAAAAATCCTAGACATCGCCATATTTGATATTGAAAATGCTGGAAAAATGGTAGGAATTTCCCAAGAACGATCACAAAAATAATTTCTTGACGTCGGAATCTAGAAAAAATATCTTCAGGTATTTTTCGTTAGTGGTCAAAAAAAAAACGAAACTTTCGTAATTGGAAAACTGAGTTTTTGAAAAAGTTACTTAAAATCCACAAACAAATCTGGCATATAGATCTCGAAGGGCTGATTCGAAAAATATAGCGTGTTTACTGCTCCGGAGCAAGATTTTTAAAAAATTAAACTTGAATATCAAAATTTTTAAAAATCTAAAAATTTGCGTATTTCATACTGAAGATTCTGGAAAAATAGTAGGAATTTTCCAAGAAATAAAGACTTCTGGGGGCCAAAATCTACAAAAAAATGCTTTCTGTAATTTTCGAAAAAGTTCGAAGAAAGCTCGAAATATTCGTGTATTGAAATCTTGAGCTTTTGAAAAAGTTGTCTAAAAATGCATAAAAATCCTGGGAAACAGATTTCGACGTGCTGATTCGAAAAATTGTCCAGAACAAGACTTTGAAAAATGACATTTATATGACAAAATTTTTAACAACTGGTATATTTCATACTGGAAATTCTCAAAAAATGGTTGGAATTTCCCAAGAAATCAAGTCGAAAATAATTTCTGGAGGTCTAAATCTACAAAAAATCTATTTAGATAATCTTTCAAGGAGGTCGAAAAAGCTCGATATTTTCCTAAAAGTAAGAGTATGAAAAATTGAGCTTTTGAAAAAGTTCTCTAAAAATCTACGAAAAATTCTGAGATGTAGATCTCGATGTGTTCATTCGAAGAATATAGCGTATTTAATAAAGATTTTTGAAAAATTATGTTCAACTAAACTAATTTTTGAAAATCCTAAGAATTTCCATATTTCTAACTGAAAATACTGGTAAAATGGAAGAAATTTCCCACGAAATGAAGCCGAAAAAGCTTCTGGAGGTCGAAGTTTACAAAAAAAAAGCTTCAGGTAATTTTCGAAAAAGTTCAAAAAAAGCTCGAAATATTCATTTATTGAAATTATGAGCTTTTGAAAAAGTTCGCCAAAAATCTACGAAAAATTCTGAAATGTAGATCTCGATGTGCTGATTCGAAAAGTATAGTGTGTTTACCGTTCCGGAACAAGATTTTTAAAAAATTACGTTTAAATGACAAAAATTTAAAAAAAAACCCTAAAAATTTGCGTATTTCATAGTGAAGATTCTGGAAATATTACAGAAATTTTCCAAAAAATAAAGCCGAAAATAACTTCTGGAGGTCGAAGTCTACAAAAAAATGTCTTTGGGTAATTTTGGAAGGAGTTCGAAAAAACCTCGAAATTTTCCTGAAGAGACTAGTGAAATTTTGAGCTTTTGAAAAAGTCTAAAAATCCATAAAAAATTCTAGAATATAGATCTCAGCGGGCGGATTCGAAAAATATAACGTGATTATTATTATCTGAGCGCAAGATGAGCAAGATTTTGGAAATAAAATGAGGTTAAAAGAGAATTCTTAAAAATTCTAGACATCGCCATTTTCATACTGAAAATTCTGGAAAAATTGTAGGAATTTCCTAAGAAAGACACGAATATAACTTATTTAAGTCGGAATCTACAAAAATATTTTTAGGTACTTTTCGTTGCTGGTTAGGAAAGCGGATATTTTCCTAAGAAAAATCGAAAAATTGACTTTTGAAAAAGTTGCTTAAAAATCCACAAACAAATCTGGGATATAGGTCTCGAAGTATTGATTCGACAAAAATAAAATGTATCAAGATTTTAGAAATATTAGATTAGAAACTATTTTTTGTTTTTAATTAAAAATATTGCCAAATTTTATTGGACGATTCTGGAAGATTGGTAGGAATTTTCGGATAAATGACGCCGAAAGTAATTTCTGGAGATCAAAATCTACAAAAAAATTGGGATTTTCTAAGGGATTATTATCAAAAAAATAAGCTTTTGAAAAAGTTTCCTAAAAATCCACAAAAAATTCTGCGAAAAATATGAAGTAGTATTGTCCCGGAGCAACTTTTTTGGAAAATTTCAGTTATTTGACAAAATTTCTAGTAATATTAAAAATTGCCATATTTCATACCTACGGAAAATTCTAGAAAAATGGTAGGAGGTTCCCAAGAAATGAAGCCGAAAATAATTTCTGGAGTTCGAAGTATACAAAAAATCAAAAATTTTCCAAGATGGTCGAAAAAAGCTCGACATTTTCGAGAAGTGTATAGAAAAATTGAGCTTTGAAAAAGTTCTCTAAAAATTTATGAAAAATTCTCGATGTACTGATTCGAAAAATATAGCGTATTCTGGGACCAGATTTTTGAAAAACTAAGTTTGAATGACAAAATTTTAAAAACACATACAAATTTGAACATTTCATATTGAAAATTCTGGTAAAATAGCAGAAATTTCCCAAGAAGTAAAGCGAACAATAACTTCTGGAGGTCGAAGTCTACAAAAAAATTTCTTTAGGTAATTTTCCAAGGCGGTCGAAAAAGCTCCAAGTTTTCGTAAAGAAAAAAATTGAAAAATTGAGTTTTTGAAAAAGTTCTCCAAAAATCTACGAAAAATTCTGGAATGTAGATGTGCTCATTCGAAAAATATAGCGTATTTATTGTCTCGGAGCAAGATTTTTGAAAAATTAGGTTTGAATGACTAAATTTTTGAAAATTCTAAAAATTGCCATATTTTATATTGAAAATTCTGGTAGTAGGAAATTTCCAAGAAGTAAAGCCGAAAATAACTTCTGGAAGTCGAAGTTTACGAAAACAAATGTCTTTATGCAATTTTAGAATGAGTTTGAAAAAGCTCGAAATTTTCATGAGTAGTGAAATCCACAAAAAATCTGGAATATAGATCTCGACGTGATGATAAAAAAATACGTGTATTTATGGCCTCGGAGCAAGATTTTCGAAATATTGGGTTTCAAAGTTCAAATCCTTAAAAATCCTGGACATCGCCATATTTTATACTGAAAATTGTGGAAAAATGATAGAAGTTCCCCAAGATATGACAACGAAAATAACTTCTTGAGGTCGGAATCTACAAAAAATATATTTAGGTTCTTTTTCGTTGGTGGTCAATAAAAGGTCCAAATTTTCGTAAGGCAATATTTGAAAACTGAGCTTTTGAAAGAGTGGCCTAAAAATCCACAAAAAATCTGGATTCATACGTGCTGATTCAAGAAATATTCGGTTTGAAATTCAATTTTTTAAGAAAATTCTAAAAATTTCATTGGGCGATTTTGAAAACATTATAGGAATTTTGGAAATCGAAATCTAAGTAAACCTTATAAAAATTGACTTTTGTCTTAATCTCATCTATTTATTAATTTTACTTAAATTTTTGGAAAAATATCAAAATTGTACAATACAATCTTCAAATTTAATTTAGAAATTACCAAAAATTTGATGACGTCTTGTTGCTTGAAATTTAAATTTTTAGAGAGTGACAGGATCCTTTGTTGTATTTTAATAATCGATCTGTATTTTTAATGATAAGCATTTGAGTTATCGTAATTAAATAAAATTTGTTTAAACAAACATAGATTTCATGATCACAGAGCGAGGGTATTTACCCTTCCCTCTACAAAGCTAATGACGTCATCGTTTGTTAAATTTAGTATCATAAATAAAAAAAAATAAAATGAATGAAGGTTCCTGAGGGTCCTTGAGGAACACCTAACGCATTAGGGCTTCAACATTAAATTATACGAAGACGTTTAGAGCAACTTTATCAAATTCCGCCCAATTTCCATATCCTAAGTTTATACACTGTAGTTCGTCACCACCCGCATTAAAAGCTCTTGAACCCCATAATAAAATTAACACCGAACTAAGACCTCCATCACAACTCCATCAGTCAACCTTTTCCCAATCCACCCCATCGTTCCTACATTTCCTACACCAGCTTCTTCACCACCCCAAACATAAGTCAACAAAGAAGAAAGAAAGTTAAATTGTCTGTTAACCACAAACCAATCTAGCGCACATTCTCATTCGCCCATTGTTTTCCGCACCTTCGACACCTTCTCCACCTCATCAGAACCGCCACAAATCTCCCTCACCCCACTTGTTGTTTCCCGGATTACATTCTCGAGCAGCGAATTCGTCGCGCTTTCAGACCGTGCAGAATCGTCGTTTTACACCGTGAAGTGCTCTCGACAACCTCCGGCTAATCCGTTCCTCCCTCCGAATCAAAAATCATGTTTTTATGTATACGGATCCGTTAAATTTTACATGACGCTCCGGTTTTAGGGCTGCAATAAAATCCCCGGAGCGGCCGAGACCCTGATCGATACTTTAAAGCGGGACCTTTCGGCCTTGACATGGGACACTTACGTTTGTTGCAGCCGTGGCTCTTCCAGTGGACTGAGCTCCATCCAGGGCAGCAGGTGTAGTCGACGGTGGTGTGGTTGTTGTTGGCAACCACCTCCTTGTGGAATTTCTCGTAGACTAATCTGGAAAGGGAGGAGAGGGTTGGACGGTGTGTGGGGTGCTGAGGTATGACGAAAACTAGTACATATACTACTGGGTGATTGAAGTTGACAACTGAATCACCCAGTATATATATAGTGTTAAATTTTACTGAAAAAAATTACAAATCAAATCGTGCCAATACTTCTTAATTTAGTATGTAATTCGTTCATTTAAAATCGGCAACGGTTGTGTAAACGGTGATTGTAATCTTATTAAATCTCTGCTCGTTAACAAAGCGTGAAGAACGAAGCGATAAAGGTAATAAAACAGAGATCGGGACAGGGATTTGGAGGTGGACAGATTTAAGTTTCAGGGACGGAACTGATGCGAATCGGACCCTTTTGAACCGTCGCTGAAGTTTTTATGGCTTTTTTTTAATGTCTACGATGTCACCGTAAAATACAAAGCTCTTCCACATATGACTAATGTTTAGTAAGTCGCGACAAGATGGGTTTTTAAAGCCAGAAATATTTGACTACATTTTTTTTCATTAATATGATTTTTGTATTAATTCGTTCAACACTAAAAGTGATATTAAGCACCATTGATTATTTACTTACAGATTAGTCAAAACGATGTTGGTATTTGAGGCTTCATTTGACAGTTAACTAACTGTAAACGCTAATTTTTTTTTTTCATATCAAAATTAAAATAAATTCGGTACAGTGAGTAGCCATAAGTTTGGACGATATTTAAACCTCCGGGGTTTAAATTTGAACCAATTTAAAGTTTTTTTTGTAAAAAAAAGTTGTTTAAATAAATAAAACCAAAATCAAATTTAATAAAGTGAGGGTGAGTCACGATGCGCATTTTCTTTAATACCTTGTTGAATATTAGAAATATAATTATTTTCAACTATACAGAGTGTTCAGTCTTTGAGCAGTAATACACAATTTAGTTACCATATATATATTGACTTTTAAAATTCAGATGCGACATTGCCACCTTGTTACAATTTTCATGACAGAATATAGATATATATAGAATGTTCAAAATTTTTTTAAACAATACAATTTTCAAATATCGATATTTCACTTGTTTCTAATAGAAAATAGAATTTTATTTTTGCCCCACTGAGATTTTTTTGTATTTTAAAAAAAAATTTGGAAAATTGATATACTTAAATCTTGATAAATGCTCCATCGTAACTTACTCAAGAAAACATGATGATATACTCTTTTCTTACAATATAGATGGTACTTTAATTAAGCGATGTGAGTCTATTAAAGATCTTGGTATCCTCTTTGATTGTAAGCTTAGTTTTGTCGATCATATAAATGATATGGTTTCCAAATGCTTTCGGACGTATGGATTTATTTACAGAAATTGTCGTGACTTTAAGCGTGTCGACACGTTACAGGCTCTATTTTTCGCACTAGTCAGATCGAGAATTGAATATGGTGCCTTAATTTGGTTTCCAATTTATCAAAACCATATTGATCATATAGAATCGGTTCAACGCTTGTTCTTAAAATTTATGTCTTTTCTTTTGGATGGGGTCTATCCTTGTCGAGGATATGACCACTCGTTATTATTATTAAGATTTAATTTTTTATCATTACATAAAAGACGAATTATTATCGCCATTAAATTTTTGTTTTTTTTAGTTAGAAATCAAGTAGACTGCCCTGAATTGCTTCATTATTTAAATTTTCTTGTACCAAGAATTAGTGCACGCCATAATCATGTATTTTATTGTACTGCTGACAGAACTAACGTTTTAAGAAGATCTCCAGTTAGTATTATGTGTAGTTATTTCAATCAAATTTCACACTTATGCGATATAAATTTCGACTCTATTAACAAAATTGTTAGTTGTGTTAAGCAATCATTATATGGGTAGAATTTTCTTTTCTTTTTAGTTTTACTTTCTTGTTATTGTTAATTTTTAATTTTAATTTTTAGTTTTTCCTGTAATTGGGTGTAACCCCGTTGGAAAAAAAAAATAAATAAAATAAAAAAAAAAAAATAAAAAATAACGTGGCAACGTCGCATTAGTTGCAAAAATAAATTGTGGTTATTCTATATCCCAGAGTTCTTTTAAGATTTTAGAGAACTTTTCAAAACCTAAATTTTCAAATTTCAAAATTTTGGAAATTTTTGACCAACTTCGAAACTGAATTAAAGACGTTTTTTGTATATTTCGACCTGCAGAAGTTAGTTTCGCCCTCATGTCTTCATTCATTTTAAGTCGGATATTTCTAAAATTCTCTCCCCATACACTCTTTTGTTGGAATCAGCAAGTCAGAATTTTTTGAAAATTTTTGGACAAACTTTTCGGAACCAAAATTTTTCCCGGATATGAAAATTTCGGAATTTTTCCAGCACCTTCGAGACTTAGTGGAAGACATTTTTTTGTAATTTTCAACCTCTGGAAGTTACTTTCGGGTCATTTCTTGGATAAATTCTACCATTTTTTCAGAATCGCCCACTGAAATACGATAGGTTTTTTTTTGGATTAAAAAAAATGCATTTAAAATCGAATATGTGCAAAATCTTGCTCCAACATTATTAAAACGTTATATTTTTGCAATCAACACGTCGAAATGTATATCACAGAATTTTTTGACGATTTTTGGACAAATTTTTAAAATCCAAATTTTTTAATAGGTACTGAAAATTTTGGAAATTTTCTACCACCTTGGAAACTTAATTAAAGACATTTTCTTGTACATTTCGACCTCCAGAAGTTACTTTCGGCCCCTTTTCTCGCTAACTTCTACTATTTTTTCAAAATCGTCTGTTGAAATATGATAAATTTTGGATTAAAAAAAAATGCATTTCAAACCGGATACATATTTCTAAAATTTTGTCCCGATACCATGAAAATGCTCTATTTTTGGAATTAGCACCTCGATATCAATATCGCAGAATTTTTCGAGGATTTTTGGACAAATTTTTCAAAACCAAAATTTTTTAATGAATATTTCGAAAATTTTCGAGCACCTTCGAAACCGAACCAAAGACATTTTCTTGTATATTTTGACCTCCAGATGTTGCTGTCTTATTTTTTCCATAACTCCTACCATTTAAAAAAAATGGCATTTAAAACTGAATATTTCTTAAATCTTGCTCTGACACAATAAAAGCGTTATATTTTTGGAATCAGCACGTCGAAATCTATATCCCAGAATTTTTTGAAACTTTTAGAGAACTTTTTCGAAACCAAAATTCTTCAGTACCCAAATTTTGGAAATTTTTGATCAACTTCGAGATTATTTTTTCAGAATCACTTATTTAAATATGATAGTTTTTGGATTAAAAAAAAATGCTTTGCAAACCCAATATTTCTAAAATTTTATCCGGAAACGAAATCTATATCACAGAATTTTGTGAGAATTTTTGAACACATTTTTCAGAACCAAAATTTTTTGTCCCTTACAAAAATTTCCGAATTTTTCCACCACCTTCGGTACTTAACGAAAGACATTTTCTTTTAAATTTCAACCTTAAGAAGTTACTTTCGACCTCATTTCTTGGATAAATTTTACCATTTTTCCAGAATTGAAATACGGTTTTTTGGATTTAAAAAAAATGCATTTCAAACCGAATATTTCTAAAATCTTGCTTCCACACGATAAAAAGGAAATCTATATCGCGCAATTTTTTGAAAATTTTTAAACTAATTTTCAAAACCAACATTTTTCAAAACCTTGTCTTACAATAAATATTTACAAATTTCGAAGTTACTTTCGGCCTCGGTATCTACATCCCTGAATTTTTTAAAGATTTTTGGACAAATTTTTCAAAACCAAAATTTTTCATTGGAAATTTTGAAGTTTTGGGACCACCTTCGAAACCGAATCAAAGAGATTTTCTTGTAGACTTCAACCTCTAGAAGGTACTTTCGGTCTTATTTATTTCTTCGACAACTCCTACCATTTTTCCAAAATCGCTCACTGATAATGAGTTTTATGGATTTAAAAAAAAAAATGCATTTCAGACCGAATATTTCTATAATTTTGCCACGACACCATAAAAACGCTCTACTTTTGGAATGGGCACTTCGAAATCCAAATCCCAGAATTTTTTGAGGAATTTTGAAGAAATTTTTCGAAACCAAAATTTTTCAAGGAAAATTTCAGAATTTTTCGACCACTTTCGGAACCTAACTAAACGCATTTTCTAGTAGATTTCGATCCCTGGAAGTTACTTTTGGTCTCATTTCTTCGATAACCCCTACCACTTTTTCAGAATCACCCACTGAAATATGATGTTTTTCGATGTTTTTTAAATAATTGCATTTCAAACTGAATATTTAGAAAATCTTGTGCTGACATCCTAAAAACGCTATATTCTAGGATTCACCACGTCGAAATCTACCTCCCAGAATTTTGAACGTTTTTGGACACATTTTTTAAAACCAAAATTTTTAGAAAAATTAATGAAAATTTCGGAATTTTTTGATGCTCTTCGGATCATAAAAATATTTTTTTAGAAATTTAGAAGTTACTTCGGGCCTCCGTTTTTCGACAACTTCTACCATTTTTACAGAAGTGCCCATGGAGCATGAATGGTTTTTGAATTTAAAAAAATTGCATTTCAAACCGAATATTTCTAAAATCTTGCCCCAACACCATAAAAACGCTCTCTTTTTGGAATGAGAACTTCCAGATCTAAATACCACAATTTTTTGAGGAATTTTGGACAAATTTTTGAAATCCAAAATTTTTCAATGAAAATTTCGGAATTTTTCTATCACCTTCGAAATCTAACTCAAGACATTTTCTTGTAGATTTCGAGCTCTAGAAGTTACTTTCGGTCTCATTTCTTCGATAACCCCTACCATTTTTCCGGAATCGCTCACTAGAATATGAGATTTTTGATTTTTTTTTTAAATTGCATTTCAAACTGAATATTTCTAAAATCTTGCTCCGTCACTATAAAAACGTTATATTTTTGAAATCAACACGTCGAAATCTATATCAGAGAATTTTTTGAGAATTTTTGGACAAATTTTTCAAACCCAAATTTTTTTAATACTGAAAAATTTGGAAATTTTCGACCACCCTGGAAGCTTAATTAAAGACATTTTCTTGTACATTTTGACCTCGAGAAGTTACTTTCGGCCTCATTTCTTCGATAACTTCTACTATTTTTTTAAAATTGCCTATTGAAATAAATATAACAGTTTAAAAAAAAAATCCATTTCAAATCGGATATTTCTAAAATTTTGTCCCGGTACCATAAAAATGCTCTATTTTTGGAATTAGCAACTCAATATCTACATCCCAAAATTTTTTGAGGATTTTTGGACAAATTTTTCAGAACCAAAATTTTTCAATGAAAATTTCGAAGTTTTTCTACCACCTACCAAACCTAACTAAAGACATTTTCTTATAGATTTCGACCGCTAGAAGTTACTTCGGACTTATTTCTTCGATAACGACTACCATTTTTCCAAAATCGCGCACTCAAAGATGAGTTTTTTGGATTTATTAAAAATGTCTATTTCAAACCGAATATTTCTAAAATCTTGCCTCGACACCACAAAAACGCTCTCTTTTAGGAATGAGAACTTCCAAATCTAAATCGAACAAATTTTTGAGGAATGTTGGACAAATTTTTGAAAACCAAAATTTTTCACTGAACATTTCGGAATTTTTCTACCACAAACGAAACGTAACTAAGGACATTTTCTTATAGATTTCGAGCTCTAGAATTTACTTTTAGTCTCATTTCTTCGATAACCCCTACCATTTTTCCGGAATTGCCCATTGTAATGAGTTTTTTGGATTTTTTTCAAATTGCATTTCAAACTGAATATTTGGTCCGACACTATAAAAACGCTATTTTTTCAGAATCGGCACTTCGAAATCTACATACTAGACTTTTTGAGAATTTTTGGACAAATTTTTCAAAACCAAAATGTTCAATGAAAATTTCGGAATTTTTCGACCACCTTCGAAACCTAACTAAAGACATTTTCTCGTGTATTTCGACTTCTAGAAGTTATTTTCCGTTTTCCAGAATCGCCCTTTGAAATATGAGTTTTTTGGATTTTGTTAAAAAAATTGCATTTAAAACTGAAAATTTCTAGAATCTAAAAATGCTATATTTTTGGACATATTTTTCAAAACCAAAATTCTTCAAAAAGATTAATGAAAATTTCGAAAATCTACCTGCACTAAGACATTTTCTTGTAAAATTGTACCTCCACGAGTTACTTCGGGAAATATCTGCTATGTTATATTAAAAAAAAAGAAATTGTGCGTCATAGTTAAAAAAAAAAACACTAAGTATAGTCAACAAAAATAATTTTAGCCTAGGCTACTCAATAATAAACCGAACAACTTTAGCTTAGGAATTTTTACTGATATCGTGGCCGTGCACTCAGTGAATCACCCTGTATATTCTTCACGTACATTTAAAAAGTTATAATTTAAAAAAAATAAATCATGAAGTGTATTCTTTCAAATTTTATTTGATAATAGAATTGTTCTACATTCTGATCAAAGATAAAAAAAATTATACCTTTTCCAATAAATAACTAAACAAAATTGTGAAATAGGTCAAACTTATGGTTTGTAATTTTTTCAGTTTTTTTCAGCAACCCCTATATCAAAAAATTTGGCTGGGAAGGTTACCTTACACCTTCGCACCACTGCGTTCCGCATCGTACCATATATTTCTTGTAAGTTGGTTTGCAAACGACCCGTTTGACACGAACTGGTTGTGTTACATTACGCTGTCGAGTGCAAACATGTCGTCTGAAAACAGGAAAAACGTGTTAAGTGGTGCATTGACGGTGGTTCTCTTAAAAAAAAAAATAAGGAACTGTACAGAATCATATCTTAACTTAATACAAATACATTATTTTACAAATTCAATGTCATAAATAATATGTTCAGAGTAGGTTTATGGTTTTTATGCGAATTAAAGAAGCTATTCGTTTCAACGTTCTCATTAAATCTTCTAGTTCAAATCCACTTGTCCGTCAAAATGAAGCTCATAACGAAGAACTGAAGGACAATCGACGAAGAATGGGCATTTAATTAAATTAATGAAGACGTCGTACTCGGGAGGATGACAGGCGACTTTACATACAATGGCCAGCTTCAATGTTGCGACATTTCGGCTTAATTGCAGCCACAGTTCAAGTTTATTTATATACAGAAGTACAAATTGTTGTCTATTTTTAACAAGTCGAGAGCATTATACTCGCACTGACCAGTGACTGACTCATGGGAATGACAGCGAAAATTAATTAATTTAAGTCGCTACCTGTTTAACATAATAAGTGGAGTGGCGACTAATCTTTGGCAAGGCTGTGTTTAAGTAGGATGAAAATGCGAGCTTTGATTGCTGTCGGTGTCAACAGTAGCAGGTGCCGGATTAATCTGAGGATTTCTGGGTTATCTTATGGGTTTATAATAATTGGCAGGAGTGTTATTAAAAAATTATCTTTAACAGAAATAAATAAAACCTTTATCCACACTATGGTAAAAACCACCGTGATATATAAATTCCAATTACATTCTCTAAAATCGATGAAAGGTGCCAGATTTATGTTAATATTTACATTTTTTAATCACGATGTAGCCAAAGCAATATAAATTGCTGGCAATGTGTTTTTCAAATATTTGTTTCGACCAACATGCTTTTAAAATTGTAAAGTACATTTAAATTTATGAAATATCAAACAAAAATATTCCAGCTGAACCGCAATGTTTAAACCAGAGGACTGAAAAATACAGTTTTACATAAAAATGCAAATGTGTTGAAACATTTGTTTGTTTTTTGGTGAAAAGTTTATGGAAATGGATGCGAAAAATATAATTCGTTTTTCTCTTTGAAAATTTCTTTTGTGGGGGGAAATGAAAAATGTTCGTTTTTGGTATTTTTTTTTTGTTTCTACAAGTGTCCCAATAATTTAAACTAAATTATTGAAAAAAGCCATTTTGCAGTTCCGGTTTAAAATTATTTTAAAATATAAATTTGCCTGGTTTAAAAATTATACACAGTCGTTGTGTTCTAAATTAATTTAAACCGAATTTCCCTTGTCCCTGAAGTATAACCAAACAAACCCATTTTCTTAGATAGTTTAAAAAAAATATTTTATGAATTTAAATAAATTGAATTTTAAGTTTAGTGTACTTAAAATGCCAAAGACGAAAAAAAAACGAGAAACAATACAATACAGTTGAGAAAACAATAAAAAAGAGATAAAAAAGAGCCAAAAAAGGCTATAAACAAACTACAAAAAACGTCAAAAAAGGGTGACAAAGAAGGAAGGCGATAAAAAGACCATCAAAGAAGGGCGACTGAAAAAGGCACAAAAAAGACTAACAAAAAAAGCTACTCCAAAAAAAACAACAAAAGAGACGAAAAAAGACCACAAAAAGCGACTAAAAAAAAGCAGAAAAAAGTCTAAGAACTCATTCAATAAAAAAGTCTAAAAATCAACAAAAAGACGATAAAAAAGGCGCGAAAAAAGATACAAACGTAGCAAAAAAAAAAAACTCGAGATGCCCTGGTATTTTATATCTATGAAAATTTAAAAGAATCTCGGAAGTCCTTGGTGTTTTATTTTGTAAAAAATGGAAAACTTCTTGGGTGACCCTGTTTTTTTTTTTAAGAACGTAAAAGAAACTCAAGGTTCCATTGGTGTTTTGTTCCTTAAAGCATTTAAAAGATTCTCAGAGGCGTGTTTTATTTTTGAAATATTTTTAAAGAATTCTGGTAGTCCTGGCGTTTTGTTTTTGAAAAAAATTTAAAGAATTTCGGGAACCTTTGGCGTTTAATTCTGAAAATAATTAAAAAAATATTGGGGACTACTAGGGTTTTATTCTTAAGAGTTTGAAAGAATCTCGGGATTTATGTGTTTGATTCTTTAAAAAAATCTCAAAGGCCCCTTGAAATTTTCTTATTTAAAAAATTTAAAAGAATCTTGAGGGTTTCAAGTGTTTTATTTGTTAAGTAATTTTAAAGAGTTTTGGAAGCTTCGGGTGTTTTATCTTTGAAAAAATTTGAAACGATCTTAGGAGCCCTTGGTGTTTTATTTTGAAACATATTGAGAGACTCTTGGGCTCCCTGGTGTTTTTTTTAATAATTTAAAGAAATTTCGAGTATCTTGGTGTTCTATTTAAAATTTGAATCTTAAGGAATCCTAGATGTTTTAAACTTATAAAAATTTTAAATGAATATTAGGGTTTTTGAAAAATTTTAAGGGATTGTAGGAGTCACTAATGTTTTATTAAAAAAAAAGAAAGAACCTTGGAGAACTCTCTCGTGTTTTATTCTTTAAAGAATTTAAAAGAACCTCAAGGGACTTGAAATATAATTTCCAAAAAAATTTTAAAGAAACTTTGGGTTTTTAGGTGTTTTGTTTTTGAAATAATTTTAAAAGAATCTTGGGAGCTTCTGTTTGATTTTTTAAAAGAATCTCAAGGTGCCCTTGGAGTTTTATTTAAAAAAAAAATTAATAGAATCTTGAGAGTTTCAAGCCTTTTATTTAGTAAATAATTTTAAAGAATTTTGGAAGCTTCGGGTGTTTTATCTTTGAAAAAATTTCAAACGATCTTAGGAGCCCTCGATTTTGAAACATATTGAGAGAATCTTGGAATCCCTGGTGTTTTTTTTTTTAATAATTTAAAGAAATCTCGAGGATTTGTGTTGTATTTTTTAAATAATTTCAAAGAGTCTCAATGGTTGCAGGTGTTTTATTTTTTTTAATCTAAAAGAATCTCGAGAGCTTTTAGTGTTTTATTCTTTAAAGCATGTTCCAGGAGTTTTATTTTTGAAATAACTTTAAAGAATTTTGGGAGTCCCTGGTGTTTTATGTTTGGAAAATTTTTAATGGATTTTGGAAGACCTTGATCTTTTATTTTGGAAACAACTGAAAGAATCTTAGGTATTTTTGTTGTTTTTTTAAGAATTTAAAAGAATCTTAAGGGATCCTAGATTGAATGTTAGGGCTTCCGGGTACATTATTTTTCAAATAATTTTGAAGAATCTTGAGGATTCCTGGGGTTTAATTCTGTAAAGATTTTAAAAGAGTTTTGGGAGTTCCGAGTGTTTTATTTTTGAAAAATTTTAAGGGATTGTAGGAACTGAAAGGATCTTGGGAAGCTCCCTGTTGTTTTATTCTTTAAAGAATTTAAAAGAATCTCAAGGGTCTTAAGGCTGGCGTCTGGTTCGGTTTAGTCCTATACTAAATACATTGAAAACATCGTCGCGGTTTCCGGAGTTGCATTTTAAAAATATGAGATATATCGCTTTAAAAAAATTATATTTCGAATTAACAAACTTCAGTCCAGGGGACCTCCATATTTATATTCATATCTAGTATGCAGTTTTTACAAAAAAAAAATTACAAAGTTGAACAACTTTTACATCACATTTTAACCGGCACATTGATGCATTTTTTGACGAAGTGCTGAAGTTTTTTGCATTCTGAGATAGGAGGTCCCCTGGGGAAAAGTGTCAGCTTTCTTTTGATATCATTTATAATATTAAAAAATCCACGGCTGAGGTAAATAACTCGCGAAAAGTCAAAATCTATTGAAACGAGAAATCGGCATTAAACGAGCTGTGATGCGGTAGCAGAATGCAGGTTTACTTAGATTCTGACTTGGTTGGAAATTTCAGTATTTTAAAAATGCAATTCGGGAAACTACGACGATGTTTTCAATGTATTTAGTATTGGGCGAAACCGAACCAGACGCCACCCTTAAAATGTAATCTCAAAAAAAATTAAAGAATCTTGGGGGTTTTAGGTGTTTTGTTTTTGACATAATTTTAAAGAATCTTGGGAGCTTCTGTGTTTGATTTTTTAAAAGAATCTCAAGGTGCCCTTGAAGTTTTGTATTTAAAAATATTAAAACGATCTTGAGGGCCTCAAACGTTTTATTTATTAAACAATTTTAAAAAATTTTGGAAGCCTCGGGTGTTTTATCTTTGAAAAAATTTGAAAGGATCTTAGGAGTTCTTGATTTTGAAACATATTGAGAGAATATTGGGATGCCTGGTGTATTTTTTTAAATAAGTTAAAGAATAGTCGAGGATCTCAGTGTTCTATTTTTTAAATAATTTCAAAGAGTCTTAGTGGTTGCAAGTGTTTTTTTTTTTTTAATTTAAAAGAATCTCGGGAGCTTTTGGTGTTTTATTCTTTAAAGCATCTGAACTAATCTTGCATGTTCCAGGAGCTTTATTTTTGAAATAATTTTAAAGAATCTTGGGAGTCCCTGGTGTTTTATATTTGAAAAAAAATTAAAAGAATCTTGGAAGACCTTGATATTTTATTTTGGAAATAACTGAAAGAATCTCAGGTGCATTTGTTGTTTTTTTTTTAAGAATTTTAAAGAATCTTAAAGGACCCTAGATGTTTAATAGGTGTTTATAAAAATTTAAATGATCGTTCCTGGGGTTTAATTCTTTAAAAATTTTAAGAGTCTTGGGAGTTCCGGATGTTTAATTTTTGAAAAATTTTAAGGGATTGTAGAAGCCTCTAATGTTTTATTAAAAAAAAAATGAAAGAATCTTGGGAAGCTCTCTGGTGTTTTATTTTCTAAAGAATTTAAAAGAATCTTAAGGGGCTTGAAATATAATCTCAAAAAATTTTTAAAGAATCATGAGGGTTTCAGGTGTTTTGTTTTTGAACTAATCTTAAAGAATCTTGAGAACTTCGGGTGTTTGGTTTGTGAAAAAATTTGAAACGATTTTGGGAACCTTTCGTGTTGTATTTTGAAAAATATTGAACAACGCTGGT